CCTTGAGTCAATGTTAAGGAAAGTTTGTTGTATAAACTTAGTGAAGAAGTTTATGCCCTACAGATAAAGTTCCCTGGTAATAAAATTAATGTAATGTGACAGCCAAAATTTTAATAGAAGAGGGATTTGTTTTTTTAAAAACTGTCTTTGAAATTCTACCCTCAGAAAAAAGAAAAAAAAATTGTCTCTACTTGCATACATAATTATGTATATGTAAAATCCAAAAAGTTCTACAAAACTTTACTAGAGCCAATAAGCGAGTTGAATGAGATCACAGGATATAAGGTTGATATAAAAATCAATTATATTTCTATGCAAGAGCTATAAGCAATTGGAGATTTTTAAAAAAAGAAATTCTACCCTCACTTTATAATAGAAATAAGATCAGATTGAGACTCAGATATAAAGGAAAAGAAATATTGGGAAAGAGCAAATAATTTGGTGCCCTCCCTTATCAGTCACTAACCACACTCTGTACTTACAAAATCAGAAAGTGCATAAGCAGTCTCTTTCATTTCAAAGAGAAAAAGTACTCTCCTGATGTAGAAATGTACACTTTCCTGGATTAGTCGTTGCATAGAATTCTGAAAAATGAAAATGATAGAATAATCTTGATCGATAATGAAATGACCTGATTTATGTTCTCTAACTGTAGAAAAAATTTTAAATTTGCATCATTTTTATGAAACCTAATTTACTAATAATAACTACAGCAATATGATTTACTGAGAAATTACTATGATTAGAAACTATCACAAGCAACCTATATATATTCTATCTTTTTGCAACTCTTTGAATGAAATTTTATGATCTATGTTTTCCAAAGATATTGAGATCTAATGGTTCAAGAAGCTTTCCCAACTTCCCATTCAGAGCTGGAGTTCAACCCAGATATTCTGATTCTAAAGCCTTGGTTCTTAACCTGTCTGCTGTTCTTTTCTGATCCACTAATTGCTCTAGATAACGATTCTTTCATTTAGTTACCATTGGTAAAGCTCTGGGATGAAGATGAGATACTTCCTTAACGTAATAAGGAACAGAAATTGAAAATGAAAGTGTCAGGATATTGTACAAGCCCAACCCTTTAATGTAAGTTGTTCAAATGTAGTCCTCTGAATTCCAAAGACTATGGAAAATTCATTGGCTATTCCAAGGAAGTGGTTGATCCCACAGTCATACACAGGCGAGGAGGTTTGTGACTGCAAGTCTACCAGGAAGGCTGTCCCACTTTGTGGCTTTTTGTGCAACAGCAGGGCCCCACTACTGGACGAGGAATGAGAGTGGTGTTCAACTGGTCAAAACAAAACAGAGAAGTCAAAGTTTAACTGTAGGAACAAGACTCCAGGGAGAAGGAAAATAACGAATAACACTTAGAAGTCAGCAAAGAATCCTCAAAATCATCCCTAAAGCAAAGAACCCTGAATGTAATCGGCAGCAAAGAAAACCCAAAAGACAAAACTGGGGGCCCAGGGATCTACCTGAAGTTCTTAGGTATGGGAAATTGACTAACGTTAAGCTCCACTCACTGGTCAGGCTGGGGGTGCTATAATACTCTTTTCTTATGTAGAAATCAGCATGAGACTGAGCCTAGAATGACCAGATAAGTGAAGGCTGGCAAAGTAGGAAGTGAAGTGGGGATGATTAGGACTACATTAATACACTTAAGAAGTCCTAAACAATAGAAAAAAAATCAATAGCCATACTTCTGACCTAAAGAATTCAAAGTAAAAAGCAAAAGGAATTTCAACAGAGCACTGTACTTGTTTTTCCTATGATGAAAAAATATTGGCTATTTTAATAAAGTATTAAATCTTATTTTTTAAAAATTGGTATCCCTGATCATGTCTAATTTTTCTGTAGACTAGAAAAAAAGTAGAGAGGGCCTGAGTCACAACATCTACACGTGATCTGAAAATGAGTTTGTTAACAGATCTTCTGAAGTTTTGCTAGGAGATAGGCCATGAAAATTGGAAACATCTTTAAAATATATCACGTCTTAGTGATATACTTGTGGAGTCCCTGAATGGTTGTGCTGTAATGCTTTGGTTAGATAACAGGAAAGGTCAGTGACTCTAAATCCCAAGTCCAGAGGAAAGAATGGCTATCCACACAGGAGACTACAATTAAGAAATACTATTACTACTGGAATGTAAATCATCACCTCCTCCATAAATAATTTTTCTTTCCAAAGCAACAATCTGTAGCCGCCTTACTTTTTCCTTACCTAGAGCCATCGACTCCCTCAGCGTTGTGCTGGTAGGTGATGTAGACTTTGATAATTCTTGCAATAAAAATCCAGTCATGTATGACATTTAGGAGGGAGCAAAGGGTTTGATTTACCCCAGGGCCCTGAAATCGTTATAAAAATACCTTTAATGAGAAATAAAAGGTAAAGAAAATTAGGAGCTCACAAATTGAGCCAAATCAAAAAGGGTGCCAAATCACTAGGCCTGGGCTGCCGCCTCTTAAAATTTTACATAACAAGAAGACCATTCAATGTAGGTTTTTTCCAAGAATCCAAATTAACCTAAAAGCAGTCTAGATGGGAAAAGAGGGAGAATAAAGATGATGAAGATGTCAACTTTCAATTTCATTTGGTCAAAGCGTGTACACACACACACACACACACACACACACACACACACACACACAGTAGCCTTGCTGTCTTCTCAGCTGCTGATAGGATGATCTGATGATCTTTGGGCATCACTAGAATACAGACATTTAAAGAACAGGGCACTTGTCATTCTATGTCACAAACATGCTTACACTTCCAGGAAAATCTCAGCTTTCACTAAGGGGCCCATACTGGCAATAAGAGGTCACATTCTTTCCACACAATCTATTTCGATGAGATATAATCCACACACATATTCTCTTTAGCTCTTTCACTTGGTGCCTTCATTTTGCTGTCCTGTTTCCTATGAGTGGAGTCTTTGGTTCTATGGTTTCCTCAGTGTTATTTACAAGGCAGCCACTTTTTTCTCCAAGTTCTTTTCATTGAGTGTGAGCCAAATATCTGCCTCTCACACTCCTTGAAAATCAGAACTCTAAGTAATTTTTGGCTGAGGACATACTCTAACAGAGAGATGGTGACCTTCTGTGTCTCCCCACGTGTCATTCTGTTCACACCCACTAGTCAGTGCAGTCTCACAATGAATTTGTATGGAGAGTGGCTTCCAAGAAAATGTAACTTACAGCAAGGAAAGGAAAACATTCTTAGAGAAGAATGATTCCTGCAAATTTACAAGACAAGAAGCAGCTTGGAGTTTCCCCATCAAATGAGTATCTATGACAAGTAGATGCACACAACAGACCCTTGGTATTTAAAGTATGTTCCTCATTCGGACAGCATCAACATCACTTGAACATTTACCAGGAACGCAGAACCCAGACCTTCTCCTGGTCTGTTGAATAAGAAACTGCAATCCTCAAGTGATTCTTACCCACATTCTTGTTTGAGGGGTGCTGGCCTAGAGCAGTGGTTCTCAACCCTCCTTGCACACAGGAATCAACATAAATACAACAGGCAACAAAAAAACAAATGACTGATGCTTGGGTCCCACCCTCAAAGATCCCAATTTAATCAGTTGGGGGTGTGGCCTATGCACTGAGATTTTTTTTAAGAACTGCCCAAGGGATTCTGAGGTGCAGACAGGGTTGAGAGCCACTGGCACAGCCTCAGAAAAAGGCACCTTCTTCCAACTCCTTCTTCCCATTGCTGCAGACTCAAACAGTCGGGTTTCTGGCGTCAAAATCTCTCTTTTCCTAAGGCCTGACTGCACTGTAAGTATCTGGGGGACTCCAGGAAAGGTCTAAACGTTCTGCCTAGTACGTTGCAGCTTCCTCCTTCTCTCACCTTCTCTACATAGCTGCTCCTGACACCCCACACCTGGGCAAACCACACCAGGGGCCAACAGCAACTGGGGCTTTCAAATATGAACCTGGAGCATTCCCAGGTGTGTCCAAGATGTGCAGCCAGTTTTGGGAGCCACTGAACTCCACAGTAGGTCTTCGGCCTTTATCTGGCCAACTCTTTAAGGATTTGTAAGAATGAATGAGCTGTCAAGAGAGCAGGGGCCTGGTGCAATGCTCCTTTATTAATTATAGGGAAGAGATGTATTGGCAATGATAATGCTTCTCTTGGAAAGGGCAATGAATGGTTCGTCGATTGCTGCATTAGGTCTTTCCCAACTGAGTCTTAATGCTCGACTTTTACTCCTCTCTGTAGTTTAAAAGCTGTCACACTAAACAGCCTCTTGGTCCGTATTCCCCGGTGAGCTGCAGTCTTTGAGGGAAATACCAACGCCGTGGAGACCCTTTCAGAGCTCCTGGCTGGGAAATACCACCCCCCAACCTCCTCGCCCCCCACCCCAGCCCCATATCCCCGTTTGCTTGTGTCAGCATCTAGTAGCTGGAGTATTCTTGTGCATATCTGATATGTAGGAAAAAAACACCGAATAAGGATTTTAAAAAATCACGGATATATTCCCAGATCCCTTTGCTAAAAGAAAGCTTCCTTCAGCAGAGGGGTAGGAAGAAAGACAACTGGATTAACCGAGTCAGGTGGGAAACCGGGAAGGCGAGTCCGGGTCAGGGTTCCGTCTGCGGACGGGGCGAGGAAGGTCCAAAAGAAAAGTTGCAGCGCGTGTCTGCGCGTGTCCCCGCTGCGCCGGGTGCGGGAGAGAGCGCTAGCGCGCGGCCGGAACGCACTGCGGGGCCGAGGGCCGCGAGGAGGAAATCGGCAAAGATCTTCCGCGGCGGAGGCTGGGAGGCGGGCAGGGCTCCCCGCGCGCTCCGAGCTCCAGACACGCGCCGGCCCTGCCCCGAGCGATCGCCGGGAGAACCCGGGGAGGGG